TCGGTTGGGACTGCGCGACAAGCCTTTCAAGGTTGGATATCCCCTCGAACTCCGCTAGTAGGCCAAGCTTTTAGCACCGAGAGTNTCGGGGTTGGGTTTTCGTCGCTTGGCAACGACGTTGTTCAACAAGCCAATTCACTTCGTGAACTCGGCAACCAGGTTACCGTTTTTTTTTTTTCACCCCTGTTTTTTTCTTGGCGGTAACCATGATAGTGGTCGAGTAGATCATGTTGAGCGGGGTGGAGAACCCTCACTCCGCGCAAGGGCCTTTGTCGTGATGTGTACACAACCGCATTGTGGGCAGGAAGTGGGAAGGAGGACTGGTCGAGTACGGCAGCTATGTCTTCCTCGACGTTCAGTGGTTTGCTGAAGTTCTGGACCCACTGTTCAGTCACAAACGGAATTTATATGGCAGTATAGATCTCGGTGGCCGTAGCGTCACCAAGAACGTGAGGAGCTTAAGACGACTGGACAACGACCACATTTTTGAGCCGCGACTCGCTGAAGAGTTGTGGGGCCCAGATCTCGCTCGACATCTTCTGGCGGCTCTCAAGAGTGCAGGGTTGACGTTCCCGATGCCGAACGATCCCAATGAAGGCTTGGTGATCCTTGTGCGGATGAAAGATAAGCCCCCACCTGGATATGACACGAAGCTCAAGCAGGCAATCGCAGCCAGGAAGTACGACCTCAAGCTCATATTTCACTGCAAGTTCAGACTAGGGTTGCCACCTGGCTTGATCGAGCGCATTCTGGCGCGGTGCTGTCAATTGGGGCATCCGTATCCCTTTTGGCGATACGGAGCTCTGATATCGGGGGAGGGCGGGCAAGGGTCGTTTTCAGCGGATTTGCGTTATTCTGATGAGAACAAGCTCCTTGAAATCGTGGTGCACGGAGGACGCGAGAAAGTCGATGCGTGGGCGACTCTATCGAAAGTACTTTCCGTTCTGATCAAGATGCTCTCAGAGTACGGTGGCCTGCCGTGCGAGCCGCAGCTTTTCTGCCCGCTACACGAGGAGAAGAGCATGCCCATCACGAGAAATGTAAGCGCCTGGTCCATTCAAAAGTCTCAACGTTTGAAGCAATTGCCCGTTTTTTATGTGTCAACTACGATAGCTGACTTGCCGATCATATGATACTTTTTTCAAGTAGGACACAACAGAGTTTTCGAGCAACGACGCAAGGTCGTGTTTCCTTCTTGGAGAGAAGCGACTGAAGAGCTAGTCTTGTCCATTTGCGCTGGCGTGCTCTCGTTTTGACAGACGAAGCCTGGATCCCGTCTGGTCGAGGAGAGCGACTTTTGTCCGCTCTGCCTTGACCGTCGGGCGGGAATCAGCTTCTTGGCAGCTGCTCTCCAGGTGGTGGAATTCTCAGACACGTGTTTCTTAGATGAACAGCTCAGCAAGGAGTTTGCAGAGAATGCGACGAAAGTGGCTCATAAGATTTGTGAGCCATGGCTGTCAAGCAACTACCAGGTGGGCTCTTTTGCTGCACATGTGTTGGACGCTACTTACAAGCTGTGCATTGCAGCACTGCAGTCGTTTAATAAGCGCGATTGTGTATAATATGTGAGGGCTCTACCGGTGTGCCTCTGAAAGTGTGGGGCCTCTGATCCTCTGCGCGAACCGTTCAGTGCTCAAATGATCCCCCTTTGCTAACGCTGTGCGAAATGTTTGCCTTTTTCAAAAATGAACCGAACTTTCACAAGACGGCTCATCTGACACCTGCTGGCGGCGTCCCCTTGACTAGCCAGGTGACAAGCACTGGCGCAACACGTACAAGCTGTTTTGGAATTTCGAGTGGCTGGGCGCATGCGTTCGCGAGATAAAATGGTCGAACCTACTGGGATCCAAAATTCTTCAATCAGAGCTGTGTATGGTGGCAATACTCTCTAAATAATGCTCCGCCGTTGCAACCGTTATTTGACTGTACGAGCCGTTTATGCCCTCCTTGCAAATGGCCCGCCTTTGCTCAGACTGCGGCTCATTTGACATCTGGCGGTGGCACCCCGAGCAGCCAGGTGGTGAATGCTGTCACAACAAGTACGGTGAGAAGAACATGTGTACGATTTTTGTATCAGATTTCGTGAATGATTTTTTTGTATCAGATTTCGCGACTGATTTTTCTCTCATGCCTCACACTTCGAAGGTAGGTCGTAAAGCGGCCCTTCGCATAGCCGTCTCTGGCCCGTTCTTCTACGAGGCCCGAAATCTCTGGTTTTCTCCGATTTCTCGGTTTTCTCCGATTTCAAATACCCCGAAATTAAAGCAATGAGAGATTGTTGCCCTCGTGTAGGATGACCCTTACAGACATATCATACCCCTCGCGGAAGGGTCTCTGTTTTAGGAAGGTCTCCGGCCATCTTTGATCACCCCTGATGTACCGTATCTCCATATCTTCGCGCCAGCCGGCAGGGACGCGTGCGACATGGCCTCCTTGCTTTTCTTTTTCTGCCCCCTTGCTGCAGGCCCAAGATGCCATTGCTATGCTACGTCCACTCTTGATGTCGGACAAATTCCCGTACGTCTAACGTTGATTTTAACATTTACGATTTGACGGGTGATTCCGCGATGCCTTCTCCTTGCTTCCAATTTGCAGAACTCGGAGACTCGATATGTGTGGTACGAGGACGTGAAGGCGTGGATACTCCTGGCCAGTGAAGCGTGCCTTACTGTCTTCACGGCGTTCGTTGCCAAGGACGATGACGACCCACGTCTCTGGGGGTCATTTCTGGCCGTTGGCATGCTGCTCATATTGATTGATGCTGTGCTGATCGGTGTGCTGATTGCCAAAAAGATGAAAAAGAAGAGGGCTGATGATGGCGGCGGCGGAGCCAACGTGTAAACCTGAGCTGGTCCGAACAAATAGTTCGCGACGTTTGAGGAGGTCAGGACTTTCCCAACCGAAGTCATGCTAATGGAGCTTTTGATTCGCTGCAGGAAAAGTCGAAAATATGAAAGTCTCTAGTATTGCTGCAGGTTTTGTTCGCGCGCGCAGCGGGAATGGGGTAGTTCGCAGTGGTCGAGAGTCTTGACGTGCCGAGTATCAGTTGAGTGGATAACAATTCGGCGTCTTCAATTGTTTGGTTTTTGAAGCAACCTATGGAGAGAGACTGCAAAAGACGGGACATAAGGTACATTAGGCTAGGTCGGCACGTACGCGCGTTAACAAGGTAGCCGTCAGGGAGTGTTTGCAGTGCATGTGACCCCGGCTGAAACATCGAACACACACCGAAAGGTGTAGACTTGTTGTTGTTGTTGTTGTTGTCTTCACATAAAAAACCATCCCGGTCTCTCCACCCAGCACCCCCTTTGTCCGTACTGATCCAACAGACACGGCCAATTCCCGTGGTCACAGAGTGCAAGGAGCCTACCATCAATACCCTAAAAAAACATAACGTGGCTAGCAGAAAGCCAAAATAAAACCACAAAAACACACGACGGTGAGGCAACCTGCACCACGAATCAATATAGAGAAAGCCCAATCGAACCACAGCAATTAAGGCAACTGCTGTCTGGAGTGCTGCTCAATAGACCCTCCCAGCAAGACCACGGCGGAGACGGCACGTAAACGAAAGAATAGGAAGATAAAAAAAATCAGAAAAATTGAACAGGGAGACGGCGCTTTTCGACCGCTCAAGTCAAAACAAATGCAAGTCTAACAAAATGCACGAACAAAATGCGACAGACAAAGCATGTATTCACCTACTCACAATCTAGACTCACGGCCTCGTGGGTATCATCGGCGTACACAGGGTTTGTCCGGAGTGTCCTATAAGAAGACCCTCTGCATGTATTTAATGAAAGAGCAACAAATTTTTTGACACAATCGGTAGAAAATTCATCTTCTTGCTCCTCCCTCTGTTCTTCGCTCTTCCTTTCGCGGGGCCACCTCCAAGCGCTTCCGTCCATCCTCGCCCGCGTCCATGGTCTCGCGACCTCTCGTCGTTGTTAGTCCGTCGCCCCTTCTGCTCCTTCGTGCGGTATCCCTCCTCCTTCATGATGCACTCCGGTGCTGATCTCTTGATTTTCTCGAACAGAGGATCCGACCTTACTGATCACGTCCGTCCGTCAGCGACCTCCCCTCCATCCCTGTCGCCGAGTCCGTATCCTACACACCGGTGCACACTGGGTGCAACCAGCTTTCGGCCACAGTGTCCATCTTCCTCCGCGCACACACTAAACGCCTGTCCGCTCACGCGGACAAAACTATATATCCGATGACGCAGATAGATACTGAATTAACAGGGGTGTGAGTGCCTGATGCACCGTGCTGACCCAACTCTACCATCGCACCACGGACGGTGAGGACCGGGGTAGTAGCAAGAAGGAATCACTCCTTGAGGGTGAGTCTGGCCTTACACCCGCCGGAAAGACCCTCCCCACATCGGGCCGGTCATGGCCATGATCGGAAGACGAGGGAACGTGTATACACACCCTTGAAAAAAAACGAAACATGCCCGAATGTGTCAAGCCAACATGTTGAGCGCCCTAATCGTCAGCCGCCCGTGTACACAAGACCCGTTCAACCCCCCCCACGCAGGCCCTAAGCCCCATAAAAAAACTAGTCAGCCGCACGTGCTGCCCCCGCTGCAGTATATGCGGCTGGAGTCCAGGCGCAGTTGCCACCAAGGTCTCGTGCTACTCTCGCCCTTGTTCTCGCGGGGAGCGGGGACGCCGAACAACCGCTTTTCCTCCGCACGAACGGGTGAAGAAAGCCCGGCCTGGCATATATCTGCGGCGGGAAATATTGGGGGTGGTGGGATATTACGATTGAAGGTTGTGCACGATATATCGTAAAAACACACACCGTCACAAGTCCGGTGGTAGACTGCGTTTCCGACGGCTTATCCGGGAGCGGGGAGCGAGGCCAGACTACCTCAGTACACACAAAACAAACCTTCAAAAGCCCTCCCGTCGGCCACGCTTCTGACCGCGGGCCTCAACGGGAGCCTCTCCTCCATGCTGCCCGCCGCCCGCCCCCTCCTCGGCCTGGGCTTGACCGACCCCACCCTCGCCCCCTCCGACTTCGGCCGGGGCGCCACCGGTGGCCTCCTCCTCAATTTCCACAGAGTCTCCTCCGGTCCCGGCCCCACCTGCAATGACATATCGCAAAAACACACACCGTCACAAGTCCGGTGGAAGTCTGCGTTTCCGACCCCTTATCCGGGAGCGGGGAGCGAGGCCAGATTACTTCAGTAAACACCAAACACACCTTCAAAAGTCCTCCCGTAGAGCACGCTTCTGACCGCGGGCCTCCGCGGAAGCCTCTCCTCCATGCTGCCCGCCGCCCGCCCCCTCCTCGGCCTGGGCTTGACCGACCCCACCCTCGCCCCCTCCGACTTCGGCTGGGGCGCCACCGGTGGCCTCCTCCTCAATTTCCACAGAGCCTCCTCCGGTCCCGGCCCCACCTGCAATGAGATATCGTGAAAAACACAATGTCACAAGTCCGCTGGTAGACTGCGTTGCCGACCGCTTATCCGGGAGCAGGGAGCGAGGTCAGCTGCCCGTAGAAGCTACAAAATAAACATAAACACACCTTCAAAACCCCTCCGGCAGACCACGCTTCTGACCACGGGCCTCCGCGGGAGCTTCTCCTCCATGCTGCCCGCCGCCCACCCCCTCCTCGGCCTGGGCTTGACCGACCCTACCCTCGCCCCCACCTCAATTTCCACAGAGCCTCCTCCGGTCCTGGCCCCGCCTGCAATGAGATATCGTAAAAAAACACACCTTCAAAAGTCCGCTGGAAGACGGCGTTTCCGACCGCTTATCCGGGAGCGGGGAGCGAAGCCAGCTGGCTGTAGGAGCCACAAAATAAAACAAAAACACACCTTCAACAGCCCTCCGGTAGACCACGCTTCTGACCATGGGCCTCCGCAGGAGCCTCTCCTGCATGCAGCCCGCCGCCCGCCCCCTCCTGGTCCGTTGGCTCGGCTGGGCTTGACCGACCCCACCCTCGCCCCCTCCGACTTGGGCTGGGGGGGGCCAATTTCCACAGAGCCTCCTCCGGTCCCGGCCCCACCTGCAATGAGATATCGTAAAAAAACACAACGTCACAAGTCTGCGTTTCCGACCGCTTATCCGTGAGCGGGCAGCGAGGCCAGACTACTTCAGTACTACACACCAAACACACCTTCAAAAGCCCTCCGGTAGACCACGCTTCTGGCCGCGGGCCTCCGCGATAGCCTCTCCTCCGTGCAGCCCCCCGCCCTCCCCCTCCTGGTCCGCTGGTTCGGCTTGGGCATGACCGGCTCCGCCCTCGTGCTCTCCGGCGGCGGCCGAGGCTCCACCGGCGGCGGCATCCTCTGCTTGGGCTTGGACTCTCCGACTCCACCCTCGCCTCCTCCGACTTCGGCCGAGGCTCCACCGGCAGGCTCATCCTCGTTTTCCACAAAACCTCCCCCGCCTTCGGTCGCAGCTTGAACAGGGAGGACGAAAGATTCGGGGAGTGTGTCAACGAGCTGTGGGTATCAACGGGAAGAAACTACACGTCTATCAAAAAGGGAATTGATCATCATCCACGCACCTTCTGCAGCTTCGTCTGCAGAAAACGCTCTTGCTCCGCCTGCTGCTCTTGCTGCAGCTGTTTCTACAGACGACGCTGCTGGTGTTGCTGCTGCCCCTCGTTTTCCTGTAGATAAGAGCAGCTCCTGGTCTCGTCGCTCTAGACCGGGCTGGTGCTGTAGCTGGTACCGCTCTTCCCTCTGCTGGCACTGGTGCTGGCGCTGCTGCAGAAAAAGCCGGCGCAGCTCCGCAAAAACCATGTCGGCGGGGGTGGCGGGGGCGGCGGGAGCTGCGGCTGCGTCGGCGGCAGTGGTGTCGTCCTTCTCTTGCTTGGGGCTCATCGTCCGCGTCAACCTAAACAGAAGTGAGCGAGAAGGCATGTGTTCAAAAGCACTTCCAGTGGGAGAAACGGCTCTTACTTCTTCTCTTGAGCCCCGTTGATCGATCAGAGGAGAGACCGTGAGAAAGCAAAAAAACAGCCGCAGCAGCAGCACCGGCGGCGGCGGCGCCGGCGGCGGCAGCAAACTACTACTGTCGTACGATCCTTCTCATTTTATTTTCTTCGTGTGTTTCGACTAAAAGCTACGCGTTCGATGCGGTGCCACAGATGATGCTTGCTGTAAAACACGAAACGTGGCTGGATCCGCGCATGAATCTTACTGCAAAGCCGGTGACACGCCACATGGAAAGCAGGCAACGCTGCTGTTGTCAGATGCGGACCGACACCAAAAAGGTTGCTCTCACCTCTTCTTGCTGCTGCATACTTTCGGCACACTGTTCTTCCAGACGTGGTTATATCTCTCTTTTAATCAGGACAGATACCTCT